CCTAACTCATCCCCAGCTCGAGTGAGCCTCCCTCCCTCCACTTCCTAGATCAGGTGACCTTCCCTAAGGCACACCTCACCCGCTCCCTCCAAAATACATAGCTTGAGTGACCTTGCCCCAGTTTCCAGCTTGAGCAACTCCCCCGACCCCCCAAAGCTTTCATCGCAAGTGACTGTGTTTTCCCCACCCCGACCAATTCTTAGCTTGAGCAACACCCCCACCCCCAAGTAGGAGCGACTCTCCTTCCTGACATCCTAACCCCAGTTTGAGCCTAACCCTTCTCCCAGCATAAAGATGTCCATAAAATCATAGGGAATATTTTAAAAATACTTTTCGATTACTCCACTGTACATAAGTAAGCAGAGTGAAGAGACATTTTTTGAATGGATTTTAATGTTTGTGTAAATGCATTGTCATACTTACTCTACGTATAATTCAATGACAATAAAATGCGAACTATTAGTCTCCCTGTATCTTGTCCTTAGGGTTTTTCCAAATTAAATAAAACTTCTAATGATAAACGTGTGTTGAGTACCTTTGATTTTTAATTGGAAATGGAGTAGAAGTGTTTTTCCAGCACGTGTGGGAACGTGAAATGATTTTCCTGGAAATGGGGTAGAAGTTATACTTGTTGAAGACTACTGGTATTATTAGTGTTGATGATTAGCATTTTTCTGTTGTCTCCTGGTACAGGCCAGATGCCGTGTTTCAGCAACGTCCTGTTGGTTCCAAATTAACCGCCTAACCATTTACTGTAGCACAATGAATAGTTGAGATTTTTTTGGCTACGAACCCCGACTTTCAGCCGCAGCACACGTTTGTTGATAAAATTCTATTATGATATAAGTATTTCTCATTTCATTTCTGTGTGATTCATTTAATACAGTACAATATACAGTGCTAAAGATTTGTAGGTTTGATCTTAGAGCATAGTAATGAAGGGTTGCTTACTGGAAATCGATATCCATGAGCATATACACTGCTAAATCTGCCTCCTCTTTCTCAGTGCCAGACTTGGAGATCTGTGTTTTCTTTGGCTTATAATTTGTTGCCAGCTAATAGCCAGTTTTAATAGTCTAAGCATTGGGAACCGGCTCGTATCTTGGTCTCAGGAATCTGCATGAAAACTAAGGCAGCAGGTCATACATATTCCCAAAGGACTGCTAATATTTTTGATGTGCTTTCTTTGAGATGCTAAACTGTAATGCCCCAGGTTCTGATAGAGACCCCTCTTTAGTAATCAAAGATCCAAATGGGATCGTAGAATTCCTGTAGTGCAGAAAGAGGCCATTCAGCACATCACATCCTCTAACCCTCTGAAGAGCTTCCCACCCATTCTCTCCATTCCTGTAACCCTGCATTTACCATTGGCTACTCCACCTAACCAGCATATCTTTGGACTGTGGTAGGAAACTGGAGCACCCAGCAAACACACACAGAAACGGAATGTGCAAACACAACATAGTCGCCCAAGGCTGGATTCGAACACAAGTTCCTGGTGTCGAGCTAGCTTTAGACAATACCAGAAAGAGAAGAAGCAGTCACTTAGTGCACTCAGTAATTAAACAAACTCAAGCAAACGCAGCATAAACATGCAGAATCCTTGAAGAGAAAAGAGAACTGAATGTTTTCTAATGAGGTCACATCTGAAATTTAACTTATTTGTTCCCTGTGAAAGGGAAGTTCTGAGGAATAGTCACTGGACCTGAAATGTTACTGCTGAATTCTGCTGCCAGGCCTGCTGAGCTTCTCCAGCAATTTCTATTCCTGTTTCTGATTTTCAGCATCTGTAGTTCTTTCGGTTTTTGTTCCCTGCTTGATCTTTTAAGTGTTTCAAGCATTTACTGTTTTTGATTCTGATCTGTCATATATGCATGTTTTAGGTTTTTGCTGAACTGAAGCATTCATTCAACTTATTGCTGACTGTCAAATGTTGGTACTCTGGTGTGGAAGTAGTGTGGTGGTTGTGCATTATTGTCCTTGGCCAGTCTGATTGACATATGATTCTGGTTCCAGCTAGTCAGTGAGCTCTATCAAGCTATTATCAATGCATCAAGAGGTCAGCCTACCCATGCACCATGTCACTGCAGTTAGTTGAGCAATAAATGTCAGGTGTAACTCGATGCATTTAATTAATTGCAACTGCGATGGCATTATTGTTTTTCAGATAAATGTCAAATTATAGTTTTAGAGATGAATGTGTTCTTTGAGCAACTAGGGAATATTTATTCAGTATCAATCCCCAAATTATGACATGTTTGCATTGATGCTATTTTTAGGGTCAGCATTTCGCACGGGACACTGTGCAAAATGGATCTGAGGTGGCAATATTTATTTTCCTTCATGGTGCACCAGAATCACTAGCAAGGTTTAGTGAATCATAATCCTACAAAAAGCAGCCATTTGGCCCATTGTTGCATGCCAGCTGTTTAGAGCAACCAGTCAGCCACATTCCTGCATTCTATCCCCGTAACTCTGAAAGTTTGCTTCTTTTGTGCAGATCCAATTCCCTTTTGAAATTGTTGTTTCCACTTCAAGCACTCTTGTTCATGCATTCCACGTTCAAAAATGTATGCACGTGAACTGTGACATTACTGTCTCTACACACTCCATTGAACAGTGCCATTAAGTTGATTGTGTTCCTTAAGGGACCAAATTTCTACAAATCCTGTACATCCTGGGGTTAGAAAAGAGACCTGCAGAGGTAATGGATGAGCCAGCTATGATTTTCCAAAATTCATTTGATTCAGAAAGAATCCCATCAGATTGGAAGTTGAAAAAGGTAATATTGCTTTTCAAGAAAGAAGGAAATGGGGAACTTTGTGCTGGTTAGCCTGATGTCAGTCATTGGGGAAATGCTGGCAGGAAACCTTAGTTGCACTTAGGAAAGCGTTGTACGATTAGAACAAGTCAGTGTGAAGAGAAGTCTTATTTGTCAAGTTCATTAGAGATTTTTGAGGGTGCACCTATTTGAGTAGACTAAGGGGAACCAGTACATGTACTATTTTATTATTTAGCAAATACAAATTCCTGCAACCAAGCAATTTCTTCCTCATTTCATAAGTTTAAGGTGATAAGTTGATGATTATTAAGGTGATTATTTTGACATAGATTTGCTCCTCATTGTGTTGCACTCACATTCATCATTTGGAGACTTACAGAAAACTCCCTGTGGCATTAGCATAGTCCCTGCACTTCTCAGCTCAAACCGAATGGATTCTGCCCTTACCCATCAAGAATGTCCTCTTTCCAGTATTAAAATGACTTCTGAAACGAGTGCTTTCAGTCGCCTTTTTTTTTTGTTCCCTATTTTTCTAAGCACTTGGTATCTGTGAATATTAAGCACCTAGTTCTTGCCATACTCTACCCAATTTTTGTTATTGCCCCTTTATTCGAGAAAGCTATTTATCTTTACCGATCCTATTCACCATACTTAGTGCGTTTACAGACATGAATACATTTATTGCCTTTGAGAACGTGATGATGAACTACCTAATGAATACAATTGAGTATTCTTTCAAAGAACAGTAAAGTGTCATCACATTGCTGTGAATCTAGAATCAGATATGGACCAGATGGGGTAAATACATCAGATTTCTTTTGTGAAGGACAGTTGTGAATCAGTTCTGTTTTTAAGAGCAATTCCTGAAACCTGGAATTTGTTCAGACACAGTTAATTAACAACTTAATTCCCCATTGACTTTGTAGAATTTGAGCTCATGTCTCTGAAACATTAGTCTAGTCCTCTGGATAACTAGCCTAACATCATAAATAACAATTTACCTCTGTTGCAATGTTTTGTTTCTCCTAAACCTCTCTACTTCATTGGATAATATTGGCCAATCCATTCTCCACAGCATTTACCTTTCATGCTGCTTTCTTTTGATTCCTTGTTTCATGTCATTAGGAAGTTACTAACAGTAATCTTGAGTCAAATTCCCTGAATTGCAGAAGCGAGGCTACCTTGTTTGATGCTTGTTTGCACTGACACACTTCTGGCTGTAATTCAGGCTCAGGTGGCATGTAACCATTGTATACGACTAAGTTAAGTCTCAGTCACGTAACTGGTCTATCACCTAGATCATTGCACCTCCAGAACACTGCTGCCTCCCATTCCAATGTACTACCTCTCCTCCCTGCTGTTGAAGTCTTTCATCAGCTTGAGTACTTGATTCTCAAATACTCTTGACCTGCCTGGCATCCACTGCCACTCAGATCCCAGCATTCTCTCAAGTTCCACCAATTTCCAGTGCCCTCACAAAACTCCAATCTCTCAGTTTGCCACAAAAGTTTAATTAGTTCAGAACTCCAAGCTTTAGCCCTATTCCATGTTTTAGCTTGTATTTTTAATTAAGTAGACAGTAAATTATCTTTAGGTTCTTACTCATTCATTTTGGTTTTATTGGTGGATCTTTTATTTGTGCTTTGTCAAATTCTTAATTAGCCATTCTGCCTTGGAATCTCTCAGTCCCATTTCATAAAGCTTTAAGGTTTATCTCTTGTTTCTTTTTGTTTTTCTCTCCATTTCTCCCCTGTTCACACGATCATTCCTATTTGATTTTCACTTCAGCTGTTTCAGCAAAGTTATCTGAGGCATAGATTATGTGACTCTGGCTTGTACAAATGTTTTCATTTTGTATGTTCTTTCTAGGTGAAGGATTAAATGTTCACCTCAAGTGAAGGAGAGCATGTTCCCTAATTCTCCTAATGTGGGTCGTCCCCCCTTCTCTCCAGCTCTTCTTTCACAGCAACAGATCATCAATGCTCTCAACTTCAGGAATGCAAGGTGAGTTGCAGCAAGATTCTGCTGATGTATCTTCTTATGTTTTAATTATTTTATTGGCTTTATATTTTATGGCTTGAATCTCAAATATTTCAGTACAATGACAACTGCTTATCTTGGAAATCAGATTTTTTTCGGTAACCAAAATGATGAACTTCATTATACAATTATAAAATGCTTTGTTTCATTATGTGCAGTCAATTGAGTAATAACTGATTTTCTACTAGAATTGTGACTCAGTCAGGCTACGTTTTTTCAGTGTACATTCCTCAGTTGTGCAATTTAGAAATTAATTTTTTTTTTGTTTATTGTGGGTTCTGTGCAGGATAGAGTATGATGAAGTGTACAGCATTATCAAGATACACCTACCCAGCTGATTTGAAATGATAACATTGAGTTGTCGTCTTTTGAAATATTGCAGTCCCTGTCTCATGTTCAAGTTAGGAATAAACTAATTTATCAGAGGTGAAGATAATCTCGTAATGTACTAAAAGAGTGAAAGCAATTGTTGGTTAAAGCAGTTAGGTTTAGTGTTCCAATGTACTTCATTTTAGTAACAGCTTCAGCTCATACTGGGAGATTTCTATTTACTGGTAATTTACAAGATCACACAGTGAGTGCTCATGTTTCAATATTAAGTACTTTGTATCATAAATACTGGAGCATATTAAGAAAATAACATCAGTTAAGTTCGAAATGGTTGTGTAAGTTGTTGGCCTTGAAAGGCTAACTAGGATACAGCACAGCTGCACCCATCAGTAAATTTTTTTAATTCTTGTATGGTATGGGGGAATAGCTGGAAAGCATGGCAATGGATGTTCATCCCCAGTTGCCCTTAAACTGATTGGGTCTGTAGGCCTTTTCAGAGGGCAGTTAAGAGTCAGACACATTGCTGAGGATCTGGAGCCACATGTAAGCCAGACCAGGTAAGGAATGCAGACTTCTTTCTCAAAAGGAACTGTCTCTAGCAGGCGCAAGATAATCTGTTAGCCTTACCTCTTCAGTTAACAACCATGTAATTTATGTTCGCCTGGTATCTCTTAGGAGATACTCATGACTTCTACCTGTTAGATGTAGATAACCAGTCAATGTTAATAATGTTTGTTCTTTACTAGTTTGTAATAAACAAGTTCTTAGGTATGCAAACAGAACTTTGGTAGTACAGACCTGTGACCAACAGAGAAGGTTACCTGTCGGAGACCTGTGGACAACGAAGAAGGTTATCTCAGAGTACAACGAGATCTTGAACAGATAGGCCAGTGGACTGAGGAGTGGCAGATGGAGTTTAATTTAGATGAATGTGCGGTGCTGCATTTTGGAAAGGCAAATCAGTGCTGGACTTACACACTTAATGGTAAGGTCCTGTGGAGTGTTGCTGAACAAAGAGACCCTGGAATGCAGGTTCATAGTTCCTTGAAAGTGGAGTCATAGGTAGGTAGGATAGTCAAGAAGGTGTTTTGTACGCTTGCCTTTATTGGTCAGTCCATTTAAGTATAGGAGTTGAGAGGTCATATTGTACAGGACATTGGTTCGGCCACTTTTGAATACTGCGTGCAGTTCTGGTCTCCCTGCTATAGGAAGGATGTTGTGAAGCTTAAAAGAGCTCAGAAAAGGTTTACAAGAATGTTTCCAGGGTTGGAGGTTTTGAGCTATAGAGAGAGGCAGAATAGGCTGGGGCTGTTTTCCCTGGCACGTCGGAGGCTGAGGGGTACCTTATAGAGGTTTATAAAATCATGAGGGACATAGATAGGGTAAGCAGACAAGGTCTTTTCCTCGGGGTGGGGAAGTCCAAACCTGGAGGGCATAGGTTTAAGGTGAGAGGGGAATGATTTAAAAGGAACTTAAGGGGAAACTTTTTCACGCAGAACGTGGTGCATGTATCGTATGAACTGCCAGAGGAAGAGGTGGAAGCTGGTACAATAATAACAGTTAAAAGGCATCTGGATGGATATATGAATAGGAGGGGTATAGAAGGATATGGGCCAAATACTGGTAAATGGGACTAGATTAATTTAGGATGTCTGGTCAGCGTGGATGAGTTGGACCGAAGGGTCTGTTTCCATGCTATACATCTCTATGACTGTTCGACTTAACTTGAGAAAAGACACATTTCATTGAAGATTTTTGTCTTGCACTCATTGAGACACTTGCAAGAATACCATTTGAAAGGTAAATCAGCATTTATACTGTATGAAAAGAGAATGCTGATTGGTAGAGACTTGGCCATGGAGAGTGCTGTCATGAAGGATTGACTGTTAGCTGTAGGCTTTTTAACTAGACTTCAATACAGGCAGAATGACTGATTGTTCAGGGCGTTACCCTGACAAATGAGCTGTGAATGGCTGTCACCCATTTTATTGAATTCAAACAGATGCAGTGCTTACATGTTGTTTCTGTCTGCAAGGAATCAGGTTGTGTGTATTTGCATACGTAGCTTCTAGTACATGCAAGTGTGCTATGCCGCGAGTTCAAATGACAACCATAAATCGGTTGCCAGTGTCATTCTTTTCATCTGCAGGATTATCCAACATATGTTGTCTCATTGCAGAATCACGTCCAATGTTGGACAGTGTGTTTTTCAGCTTTGCAAAAAGCCTGGTTGTAAATGGTGAGTATCTTTGTGTTGTGACCAGTCAAAGGGATTTTCCCTTTGATACGATCAACCAATCTTGGGAACATCCAGTCTTAGAAGCCTGGCAACACGCTGGCACTGACTTTCATAAAATGCATTAGTTAAGCACCACAATGCATTACCAACACAAGATGTATTCACAGGATGCTACTGCTGAGCCAAAAATGTCTGCATATCACTAAAATGAGCAATGTGGTATATGTTGTTTTGTGAGAGTTTGCATTTACTTTCTTTCTATTAATATCTCTAAAAATGCAGATGCTTGTCCCAGACCATCAGCATTGATGCTGTAAGCTAGCTGCTGGAAGCTGCACAATTATGGAATGTGGAAAGTACTTTTCTTACAAAACAACTGGGCTGACATAAGGAAATGGAGACTTAATACTTTGTTCCCCTGTAGTATTGAATATTCTGTACCACACTCTTGGTTCATTACCTCACAGGTTTAACCCACCCTGGCAACCATGAGGATATGTATAGAATATTTTATTTATTTCATTTCATGATGTGCACAATAGATGCCTTTTGGCAAGGAATTGTGAATGTTGATGTCATATTTTAATCACTGGTAGAGCACTGATGACATGTGTAGCTTTGCTTCACCAATTTCAGGAATTATATAATCTGTAAATCATGCAAATAAGTTTGATGTAATGAGTTTTTTTTTATGTTGCTTACTTTGTTTTTGCAGCTTTTCTGGTACAATCCTGACAGGAGTTATTACTCCACGGCCATCAGTTGTGTGGCCTTTAAATAGTGCCTGCCCTACTTATTCACCAGGTCTGCCCAATAATGTCGGAAGGAAGTAAGTCCTGCTTAGACTTTTTCTTCAGATTTTAAGAACTTATAATACTTATTGAGAAATACAATGCCTTCAAATAATCCAATGACCTGCATTTCAGCCTGTAAACTGAAAATATCATTTGAAGTTGCAAGCTATATTTTCTGCACCAAATGTAACTTGTTGATTGATAAAGAAAATAAAGAAAAAAAAGAGAATTTATACATATATAATAAGAACTGCCAATGCTGGAGTCACAGTATGGAGCTGGAGGAACACAGCAGGCCAGGCAGCATCAGAGGAGCAGGAAAGTTGACATTTCGGGTCAGGAACCTTCTTCAGAAATGACTTCGCAGTGGGGTTATTCTGCCTTTCATGACCACAGGATTTCTCAAGGCACTGCATTCATAGTGAGGTACTTCTGAGGTATAGACGTGTTGTAATGTTGGAAATACTGCAATCAAATGCTCACTGCGACAGCAAAGTGATCGTGACCAGATGACATTCTTATATGGTGTTAAGAAAGTTTGGCAAATATTTATCCCCATGAGGGATAATGCCTCCTCGTGCCATGGGATCTTTCGCATAAGCTAGAGACAGCGGACAGGTCCTCATTTTCATGTCTCAACTGAAACATTGTGAATATACAAAATATAATGTGCTTCAAAATAATATTTAGTGAGAATAAAAGGACATGACCTTCCAGAGAAGTTAACTCATGCCTCAATCTATTTCTGAAACTAGTTTTTAAATTTGAGTACTGAATAATGTGACAATACTGTGGCTTTAAGAGGTGTATTTTGTCCTGGTTTTTTTGATGAAGACAAATTGAGACGGAGGTATTGAGCTGTCTCTTCCCAACCAATAAAGTAAACAGCTTATGAGGCCCTGGGTTTTTTTTTAAAGTTAGAACAATAGAAGCAGGTTGGATAGAATCAGGCCCCCACAGAACCTGGGTTTTAGTTTAGCTTTCAGTTGTTGGGGTTTTGAAGTTGGCTGTGGAAGCTGCCATACATCTCGCCCTGCTACAGCAAAACACTTGAGTTCTCTCTCTCTGTCAGAATTTTCCCTTGGTGTCCTTTACTCCTGGACTGGAGAAATATTGCATGTGAGACGATCTATTTTACGGAATTTCCCTTTGCCAAGGGTGCGTTTATGGGATGTTACTATATTGGAACCGTTGCTGTTTAGTTAAATAATCTATTATTAAAATAAATTTTCCAATAGAGTTCAAGTTATATCAATTCTTCTTCGTTTTATTTCTATTTTAACTGTAGAATGTGTTTTGCTTAAAGCCTAGTAGTGTGACCAATAAAATCACATCTGAAATGCAGCCCCTTACACTTGCCTGTGAATAAGATAAAAGTTAAAATCCAGGCTATCTCCTTGATATGTTTTGAGGGGTTTTGGCCTGGCCCATAACAACATGAATTACTATAATTCTACTAACTGTGATTAATATGGTGGAGTATTGACATTGGTTCAAATTTAGGTTTACCACATCTAAATAATTACACTTTTTATGGCTTTCGTATTGATCCAAATTGAGTTTTGGATTTTAGTGATATGATGGTTTAATTTTGCACAAAAATATTAATAATCTGATGCACATAAATCTCATTTGTATTACAGACGAAGAAGTGATGAGCGAACTAGTCCTTATGAAGTCAAGCGGCAGCGGTTTCAGTCACCACCTTCTCGACCATCTGGCAGTTCAGTGCCTTTCGTTGTTGACCGCAGGTATTCTGTCCAATCACCTGGAATTTCATCTCTGCTTCCACTCACGGATCACCCGCAGAATACCCTTCAAGTGGCCAGGGATAAGGTACTGATTCACTAAAGATTTTAGTGACATGTTTACTGAATATTGAATAACATTACTGATGCACTGCTTTTATTAAACCCAAACAGGAAATACAAATGTGTTTTGGATTACTGGGAGGCTTAAAGAAGGTGCATTCTGCACTTGAATGTAAATGAAATATTGGCACAGGAAATACTTTGTAGGTTACATTGTTAAAGGAAGTTCCATGCTGTTAAATGAGTTTAGGACTGGATTTAGAACCAGTTTCATCTGTTGATAGGGATAGTAGGAACTGCAGATGCTGGAGAATCTGAGATAACAATGTGTAGAGCTGGATGAACACAGCAGGCCAAGCAGCATCAGAGGAGCAGGAAGGCTGAAATTTCTGAAGAAGGGTCTAGGCCCGAAACGTCAGCCTTCCTGCTCCTCTGATGCTGCTTGGCCTGCTGTGTTCATCCAGCTCTACACATTGTTATCTCATCTGTTGATAGGTTCAGCTTACAGGCAAAACTGGAGTTCTTATGTAATTTAAAATTGATTTGTTTATTATTCGACTGAATATTTCAAGGAAGTGGAAGCTCTTCAATTTTATCTTGCCTCTTGCATTCTTGGATCATATTGCAATTCTTTTGACCAGCTTAATTATTTGAAGTGTAGTACCTGTTATAGATCAGATTAACAAGGTCTTATAGACAGCAAGTGACAGATTGCATTTTACATTTTACATTCTACATAAACCTAAGGTATGTTTGCTTTTTTTTTACTACTCTTTTATTTGAGCATTTTTTATAGGGCGTAGTAAGAAGTTGCACAAAATCATGAATTAGTCATGTACAATCCATCAATTTTCTTTTCTGAAAACTACAGTGGATTTCAGTAGCCACGTATCATTAGTGGGTATGACCTGTTTCACTGGCTTCAGGTTAGGCATGGAAAAGGAAACCTGCTGACTACCTATCACCTTTCCTCAGCTGATGAGTCAGCTCTGCTCCATTTTGAATACCACTTTGAATAAGCACTAAGAGTGATAAAGGCACAATGTACTCTGGGTGAGAAATTTCAATATCCATCAAGGGTGGCAGTATTACTGACTGAGATAGCTGAGTCACGGAGAACATATCTACTAGACTGAACCTGCAGCAGGTGATGAGAGGATCATAAAAGGATAAAACCAACTTGACCTCACCTTCACCAATTTACTTGCCAAAGGTACATTTGTCCGTGACAATATCGGTAAGAGTGACTACCATGCTGTTGTAATAATGGTGAAGTCTGGTATTCACACTCAATATTTACTTCCTTATGTTGTATGATATTACCCCGTGACAAAAGGAATAGATTCAGAAGATTAGTTCCAAATTGGGCATCCATGAGGTGATGTGGAGCAAAATTGTATCCAACCACAATCTATCTCAGCCCAATATGTCCCTCTCTCTAACATTGTCAACAAGTCACCTAGTTGAAAGGAAGAGTTTCGGAGAGCATGCCAGGAGCAGTACCAGATGTACTTAAAATTTGGTACCATCCTGGTGAAGCTACTATAAAGGAATACAAGTGTGTCAAGCAGCATGTGATTGATAACAAGTCAATCTCACAACTGATGGATCAATCAAAGCTCTGTTGTGCCTTATCAGTCATAAATGGTGATGGACAGTGTAAATGACTAATTGGAATAGGCAACACTACAAACATGTTAATCTTCAATGGTGAGAAAGCCTAACATGTTCGAGCTTAAGGCTGAAAATACTTGGTGTAAAATCAGCTTGTTTGATCCAGATTTCACATGATATCAAGAAATAGTTGAATGTATTGAATGCAGCAGAGGCTATAATATCTCACACCATCCCAACTGTAGCACTGAACACTTGTGTTCTAGAACAAGCCTTTCCTGGAGCCATGGTGTTCCACTATGTCTATAAACAGGCATTTGATGATTTAGAAAATTGGCAATGTCTGTCCTGTTCACAAGACAGTACAAGACAAATTCTAACTGGCCAATTACCAGCCAATCAGCAACAGAAATTGCTGGAAAAGCTCAGCAGATCTGGTCGCATCTGTAGAAAGAAATCAGAGTTAACGTTTTGGGTCGAGTGACCCGTCTCAGAACCAGCAGTTTTTATGTTTTTTTTTAAAACTAGTCAATCAGGCTATTCTACATCAGTTAGGTGATGGAAGGTGTTGTTGATGCTGTTTTCAAGCAGCACTCAATAGCAATAATATGCTGACAAACACAATTTGGGTTTAAACAGCACCTGTTGGCTATATTAAAAAAAATGACGGGGGAGGTGTTGATTTAGTGCTAATATCACTAGATTATTAATCCAGAGACCCAGGTTATGTTTTGGGACCAAAGTTTGAATCCCACCATGGCAGATGGTGAAGTTTGAATTAAAATAAATCGGTAATTAACAATCTAATGATGACCATGAAACCATTGTTGATTGTCAGGGAAAATCCTATCCGGTTCATTAATGTCCTTTAGGGAAGAAAGTGGCCATCCTTACCTGGTTTGGCCTACATGTGGTTCCAGACCCACACCAATATGGTTGACTCTTAACTGTGGGCAATAAATGCTGGCCTAGCCAATAACGCCCACATCCCTTGCATGAATTTAAAACAAAAAAAATCTCATTACTGCCTTGGTACTATCACATGGGTTCTACATAAGTTGGGAATTTCTGCCTGAGACAGCACAACAGCGATTGATCGTGGCATCAAGGAACCCTAGCAAATTTGAAATTGGTGAGAACTGGTGGAAATTTTCCCCTAGTTGAAGTTATATTTAGCACAAAGGAAAATGATTGTTGTTGTTGGAGGTCAATCATCTCAGCCCAGGAGATTACCGGAGTTCCTCATGGTAGTGCCGTAGGCCAAACTATGTTCAGCTGATTCATCAATTGCCTTCCCTTCATCGTAAGGTTAAATGTGGTGATGTTCACTGGTTGGGTAGTATTTAGTTCCATATGTAATTGCCAAGATCCTGGGGCAGTCTGTACCTGTGGGTGGCAATACCTAAAAGACATTCCAATTTGGTCTGATATGTCACAAAAAGCATGCGCACTAATGCCAGACAATGACCATCTCCAACAGGGGTGAATCTGTCCCAGGAGTTACCATTGACCAAAAACGTAACTGGAACAGACATCTAAATCTGTGACGACAGGAGGAGGTTAGGGTCTAGGCATTCTGCAGCAAATAACTCGCCAAAATGTATCCACCATCTGCAATGCCCAGGTCGTCGTCTCAATGTCAACTAGGGATGGGCAACAATTGCTGCCTTTGCCAACATTGTTCACAAAATTAGAGCAAACAGAAAAGTCAAGTTAATCACTGTCCTGCAAATGCAAAACTAAGTTTTCCTGATCTGGTGGGAAATAATATTCACTCACAGTTCAAGCTAGATGCTGATGAATGCAGCCTTCATGGCCTGCTTTTGAGATTGGTGAAAATCTGATCAGAGAAATTCAAAAAGGAAATTGAAGGAGACAAACGTATGAACTTGGGAAGCATCAGTATGTACTTTGGTTTTGGATCAGTGCCTGTCAAAACTTCGGATGAATTTTATTGTCCTTTGTACAGGTTGAACTTCATTCCAAGAATGTCATGATTGTACTGTGCACTTGCCTCAGCCACTCACCAAAACTTTCTTTTTGCAGTTTTAAAATGAGAACAAAAGCTAAAATAGATTTGTTTGTTCTGCATTCCATAATACACTTTAGGGAATACAATGTAGGGAAGTTTAATAAAGGTGCCGCACTACCATAAAACAGTCTATTTGAAAGGCTCCAGACATTGATTTTAGGTAGAGAATAACCATTTTAAACATGCATTCAAAAAAACAACATTTTCAGAAGTTTCCCTTTTTAAAGATATATAATGCATGTAGTCTTTTGACTGGCTTCATTTGCAGTTGAGTCAACAAGTTTTGGATCTGTTCTGCAACTGTCAACAACAGTCGATTGATCTGGAAAAAAAGGATCTATGCCGCACACAGATTCAGAGAGAAATCCAACGGATATTCCCACGTAAGTTGATCATTGGCTGCTCTTTCATTGATCTGGATTTTAGCTTGAAGGAGGGGATGGTGTGGTTGTGATGTGGTATTGAAGGAGGCTGCTGAAAATGAAGGTTTCAAAATTGCAGAATTTCCTCACTCTCTTTATTCTGTAGCTTTTCTGCACATTGGCTTCTTTTGTCCAATGTGACATTGGGGCAGAGAATCCTACAGCACATAGCTGCAGCTTAACTCACCTGAGAATAGGGGTTTGATGGGGTGGAATAGGGAGCTATTGGCTGAATATAGGGGAAAATGATGGTTGTTTACTGGTTGGCTCATTGGGTTTGTAGGAAATTGATCCTTTTGGACCCCATGCTGTAAAGCTATTTACTTTGAGGATTCATTCCTCCTCCACCTCCTTTTAGCTGTAGCATTTTCCTGGGAAACAAAACAGATGAATGTTTAAAAGTGGGATGGGTGTTAAAATGAATACATACATGAATAACCAGTATACCCCTTGCAGGTGGATTGCTCCAGCTTCACAAGTTCCATCTGCTTTAAAATTGAAAATGGGTGAATTTCTGGTGACTTGATTTGTTCTTTCATTTTTGAATTTTAATCCCCGACCCGACTACAATCCATCAGTTTTTAAGGAGTTAACATTCAGCATATTGACTGATCAGTGTCAAAGCTGACAAGGCGGTACTATCAAAATTTTGGTTTGTTTTTCTTAACTAAAAAATCATGGTGGTAAGTTACTTTAACAATTAATGACCCCAATAAATTTGAAGAAAAATATTTAATTGCATGATTATAACCACTTGCTTATGTCCTGATGTGTTTCTCCTAACATAAATTAACTGATCATTGTTTTGTTACTTCATTTCAGAAATTTACTTGCGAACTGAGACTGTTTGTAAATTATTATCAAGTGTACTTAAGTAGTTTCGTCACCTTCATTATAATTCTGCTGCCTTAAAAGTTGGATTTTTTATGGTGACTTTGAGTTTTATGTTGAAAATCAAAATAACTTCATTTTTTAAAAAAACTAGATTAAAATATTTATGAATATTTATTGCCTTTGAGAGGCTAAATTTAAAATGATACACAGCTTGAAGAAGCATAGAACTTAATGCTGCTGACATTAGATATCAGAAATAAGTAAGGAAGTTAGTTAGCATCCTTAGAGAGAGAAAAGCATAGTGAATGATTCAGATTGATGTCCTTCATCAGTGGTTCTGATTCAACCAAACAATGATCAGTTAATTTATGTTAGGAAAAACACATCAAGACATAAGCAAGTGGTTATAATCATGCAATTAAATATTTTTCTTCAAATTTTATTGTCGTATGCTCTGGGTATTCTCTGCAGTGGGATGGGTAATTTATTAGTAGAGACTTTTTTGAGAATCTAAACTGCGTGTCCTTGTATAATGTGTATAAGAATGTGACCAGGAATAAGTTACTTTTAGTTGCAGTGTTCAGATCATGTGGGTTAAACATTCACTTCGATTTTTGTTTCACCCCAAGATGTGGAAAATACCACACTAAAAACTCAAACAGGCTAAAACTCTTGGCTCAGATTTATTTCCAGTTTATAAGGTAACATAGATTAAAAAGTAGCTATTTGGCTTAATGAGTCTGTTGCAGCTGTCCAGTTAGTCCCATGTCCCCAGTCTTCCAGATATCTTGGCAGTTCTTCCCTCTTCAAGTTTTTACCTAATTTCCTTTAAAGGCTGCTGTTAATCATTTTACATTATCTAATGGTTATGTATTTCAAATCCTAATTCTTCATTGTTTGAAAACATTTTTCTTTGTTGCTTCTGGTGTTCCGTCATCTTAAATCTATGCTCCCTGGTTTTCGTTTCTTCAGGCATTGGAAGCAGTTACTTTTATTCTAAACCCTTCACAATCTTAAATACTTGTGTCTACTTAATGTGCAAAAGCAGTAAAATACCAGGTGAATGCATGTTTTCATCCTTTGTATATCGCATTGTTCATATTTAATCAGTTTTTTTAGTTGCAATTGGCTAGGTGGAGTTTCACCACTATTACTGAAGCAAACAGATAGTGACTTTTACCACAACAACTTTGACTGCAATTTTTAAAAAAATTTGTTCATGGGATGTGGCATTTGCTGACTCGGGCAACATTTGTTGCCCATGTCTAATTTCCCGGAGAGGCAGCATGGTGGCTCAGTGGTTAGCACTGCTGCCTCACAGCGCCAGGGACCCGGGTTCAGTTCCACCTCGGGCGACTGTCTGTGTGGAGTTTGCACATTCTCCCCGTGTCTGCGTGGTGTCTCCGGGTGTTTCAGTTTCCTCCCACAGTCCAAAAATGTGCAGGCTAGGTGGGTTGGCCATGGAAAATTGCCCATAATGTTGGGGGATGTGTAGATTAGGTGGGTTATAGGGGGATGGGTCTGGGTGGGATGGTCCGAGGGTCGTTGTAGACTCGTTGAGCCGAAGGGACTATTTCCACACTAGGGATTCTATGATTCTATAATTCTTCTTAGTTAAGAGTCAATTGCATTGATGTAGATCTGGAGTCACATGTAGGTCAGACTAGGTAAAGATGACAGACTTTCTTCCTCAAGACTGTAAGCAAAGTGGATAGGGTTTTCTGGCAATCCTTAGTGGTGCATGGTTGCCATTAGGTTGGATTTTAGTTTTGCAACACCACTACCTTAACTCTTGTGGTCTTCCTTGTTGCTAATCAGAGAAAATAGGTGCGATTTCAGGCATAACATCTTGATAAGTTCCACAAGAAATCCTACCCTATTTTGTCCATAGGTGTTCCAGAAATTCAAGTTTTCTGCCAAAGTCATTAATGTACGCCAGATCGCAGAAGTAACTGTAAACAAGTAATACTCACAGCTCCAAGAAAGTGAGATATTGCAACATTTTTAAATTTATTATGTATGAATTGAAAGTTTCAAATCCTCTAGCCAACATTCATGTACATTAAGTATAGTATTTGTTGGATAATGCTATTGTGGAGGCATTTTAATTTTTAATGTGGCTTATATTGTCATCATGCACATGCATTTGCAACACACTTGTATTTAAGTTTCCACCATCACGTCTGCCAAGTAGCACTTTTCAGCAGTTTAAAATACTCAAAAGGCCAGAATTGGATGAGCCAGAGATCTTCTATGCATGTAGGCATGGAGGAGATTACAGAATTGAGACTTTGCAAGGCTACGAAGGGATTTGAAAACAAAGACGAAAATTTTCAATTCAAGGAGCTGCATAGTAGTCAGTGAGCCAGTGTGATCAGTGAGCATCAGGAGGTACATGAGTTGGGGCTTGTTAACAATGGAGTTAACAAGTATGGATAGCCTCAAGTTATCGATGGTAAAATGTGGGAGGAGTACCCCAAGTGCCTTGGAGGAGTCGACTTCAGTGTATAAGAGGCATGGTTGAGTGTTTCAGCAGCAGATAACCGGAATCAGGGATGATGTTGGAAGGTGGAAATAAGTGAAAATAACAGTTCTTAAAGTAATATTTTTAGAAGGAACAAAGCATATACCAAAGAATATTTTTGTACTCTGAAAAACATTGCCAATTAAGAGCCAGCACAAATAAAACAAAACACTGCAGATGTTGGAAATCTGAAGTAAACACACAAAGATTTGGAGGAACTCAGCAAGCCTTTGGGGAGAGAAACAGTTTCCAGTCTGTTATGACTCTTCAGAACTGAAGTAGATTGGAAAATGTTGTAGACAGGTGGTGGAGAAGCAAGTGGAATAGATTGTGAGGGTGGTCAGAGCCAAAGACCAAAGGGTAACTAATGGTGGTGAAGGAGAGATAAAGATGTAAAATGGGTGCAATTGAAGGTGTGAAAAGGAGAAAATAGGACTGCTCAACTGAGAACAAAGTCAACACGAAAGAAATATGGCTGTCTCTGTGTGTAAGAAACATCGAGGATATAGAGGTTATGCTCTGCAGTTGTGGAATTCAATACTGAGTCCTAGAGGCTACAAAGTGCCTCTGGGGAAAATTAGATATTGTTCCTCAAGCTTCCGTTATGTGCTTCGCTGGAACACTGTAGCAGATGCAGAATTGAAATGTTTGACTAGGAGCATGGTGATTCATTGAAATGGCAAGCAGCTGGAAGGTCAGGGTCATTCCTAAGGACAGAGTAGATGTGATCCTAAAAGCAATTGCCCAGTTTTGTGCTTCGCCTCGCCAGTGTAAAGGAGACCACATTTTGAGCAGTGATTGCAATAAACTAGATTGAATGATGTATAAGTAAACTACACTTTCACATTAAAGGTGTTTTAGGAGCTTTGGACAGTAAGAAGGGAACTGGTGGATGGACAAATGCTGCACCTTCTGCAATAGCATGGGAAACTGCCAAGGGGGAACGCTGATGCGTTCAGAGTGATGAAGGAGTGGGTCAGGATGTTGTGGAAGAGGTAGTCGCTGCAGGATGCTGATAGGGAAGGGGAAGATCTGTTTGGTGGAGGTATCCTGCTGCAATTAGTAGAAAGGGTGGAGTACGATCCTTGGAATTCAAAGACTGGTGAAGTGAAAAGTGAGGACAAGGGGAACTCCATTGTTCTGGGAGGGAGAAGAAGGGATGAGGGCATAGTGTGAGAGATAAGTCAGACATGGTTGAGGATCCTGTCAGCTGTGGTGGAGGGTGGGAATCCTCAATTAAGGGAAAAATGTCATGTTGCAGACACCCCAGTGGAAGATTCAACAGAGGTGAAGAAACTAGGAGAATGGAAAAGGATCCTTTAGAGGAAGCAAGGTGTGAGGTACTTTGAGATAACTGGGAGTTGCTGGGGTTTGCAATGGATATCGGTGGATCGCCTATCCCCAGAAATAGAAGCAGAAGTCAAGGAAGGGAAGAGAAGTGTCAGACATAGACCCAGGTGAAGGTGAGAGAAGGATGGAAATTGGAAGCAAAACTGATTCATTTTTTCCCAATTCTGGACGAGAGTAGGAAATCGTAGAGATGACATCATCAATATATTGGAGAGAGCATTTTGGATGGGGACCTGAGTAGACTGGAACAAGGAATGTTCCTAATACTTGATAAAGAGACAGGAAAAACAGGGATTCATGCAGGCATCCATTGCCAAAACTTTGACTTGGAGAAGGTGAGACAAATTAAAGGAAAAGTTGTTCAAAGTGAGAACAAGCTTAGCCAAGGAAGGAGGATGGTGCTGGATGGTTCTGGTTTCTTGACAAGGTAGAAGTGGAGAATCTTCAGACTATCTTGATAGAGTATGGACCTGTAGCAGGTTGGAAATCTATTGTGAAGAGGTGGCAGCTAGGCCAGAAAACTGGAAATTGTGAAACTGAGTTTAAAACATGATTGATGCCATGAATGTAAGTGGAAAGAGACCAAATGATGAAAAGGATAGAGTCAAGAAGTGACAAAATAAAGTTTTGGTGCAGGAACAGTCTGAAACTGAGTTTGCAAGGGCAGTCTTGTTTATAGATTTTGAGGAAAATGTAGAAGCAGACAACACAGAGTTGAGAGACTATGGGGGAAGCTGTGGAAGAGAGATCTCCAGACATGTCAGTCACAGCCCTTGGTGTTCAGCAGTGGGTCCATGATCCAGGGGTAGATGGAAGGTGCCTGAGAGTTGGCATTCAGCTTCTACAAGGTATGTTGCCATCTGTAGCCCCTTTATCAACATGTTCGATAACAAAATCAGAATTAGATCTAGGAGAATGGAGTGCTGCAAGTTCTGAAGGAGAGGAGTTTGAATGGGTGTGGGGAACAGAGAAATTAAGGTGGCCGATGTCATGTTAGCAGTTCTTAATGCAGAGATCAAGTGCGGGTAATTGACCAGAGGTAAAAGTTCAGGTGAAAGGGACAAGTAACACTCCTTGTGTGACAGGGAGAATGCTCTTGTCCAAAGAAGTGGGCACAGAGATGAAGGTGAGGGAAGAGGAGTTCAACGTCATTGTCATGCCCGAAATTCATTGAGATAGGGGCTTACAGGTATAAAACTAAGTCCTTTACTGAGCACGGATTTTCAACATCAGAAAAGGGAAGAGACAGTACAACATATCACATATCACATTCCTCAGTGACTGCCTCCGGCTCAGACTCACCCCACGTGGATTCCAACTGAAGTTTCATCCCTCATATTTTGAATCCTCCCAGGATCACAGATATCTCCGTGATGTTCAATGTTCCACGGACAGTTGCTCTCGCCGCATCCTGAGATCCACACTCAGTGCCATGCGGTGTCATATGCGCACTCTTGACCTTTCTCTCCAACAGCATCGCAACACACTGGCTCAGGGCTGCACCACTCCGCAGTTCCACTTCATCCTCCGGCTCATTCGTCGTGCTAACAAGAAACTTTTTTTCTTTTCCTTTCAGGCATCGAGGCCCACAAGATGCACCAACTCAAAAATACCCATGGCCCTCTGGAACCTATCTCTCCTCCCCTTCCCTCTGACTCTATCCCCTCCCCCAACCCCTCCATCTCCTGTCGTGTATTCATCATCCCTCCTAATCTTCCGCTGTCCAATGCTGAACGCTCTGTACTCAGCAAAGGCCTCAGCTTTATCCCTCTGCGTCCCCACCTTAATGAATTTCGGGCATGACATAACGCCAAACTGTTCTTCCGCTGTCTTCGCCTCCGTGCTCATTTGTTTGGACAAGAGTGCTCTCCCCGTCCCACAGACCCCTTTGCCCAACTCCAACGTTCTCCCTCCACCTGGACCCCTCCCTCCGGCCTTTTACCTGCACTCGATCTTTTCATTGAGAACATCAGTCGCCTCAATTTCACGGCCCCTCTCAACAAATCCAACCTATCTCCCTCCGAAGTGACTGCACTCCGTGCACTCAGATCTAACCCTAACATTGTTACTAAGCCTGCCGATAAGGGTGGTGCTGTTGTTGTCTGGCGTACTGACCTCTACATTGCAGAGGCTGAGTGCCAGCTCTCAGATACCTCCTCCTACATTCCCCTGGACCATGACCCCACCATGGCACATCAGGCCATTGTATCCACTACGGTTACGGATCTCATTTCATCCGGTGATCTCCCCCCATCCGCTTC